CAGCATATGCTGTAAAAAAGATTAGAAGTCTAACCAGTGTTGAAACAGCTAGACTAGTTTACTTCAGCTACTTCCATAGCATAATGTCGTATGGTATTTTGCTATGGGGACACGCAGCTGACACTGAAATTATATTTGTTTTGCAAAAGAGGGCCATAAGAGCAATTTATGATTTAAAGCCTAAAGAGTCGCTGCGACAAAAATTTAAGGAAATTAATATATTAACTTTGGCCTCTCAATACATTTATGAAAATGTAATGTACGTACACAAAAATAAAAGTAGTTTTACAAAAATAAGTGATATTCATTCTGTAAATACTAGGAACAGACACAAGCTAGTAGTACCAGTTACTCGACTCCATCGAGTCAGTAATTCATTCTTGGGGCGATGTATACGCTTTTACAACAAAATTCCTGTTTGACCTGTTCAAAGTTCAAAAACTTTATTAAACTAAGTTTGTATAAAAAGGGTTATTATAATATTAAGGAATTTATGGATGATGGTAACCCCTGGAAATGAGGTGATCGCTACCAAGCTATTTCTAATTTGTTGTGTTGTTAATTTGTGTAACATCATGATTGTAAGCTGTTATTTAAAAAAAAATAGTCCCGCTGGGTTTCTTGCTGGTTCTTCCCAGGACAGAGGTTTTTTCCGAACCAGTGGTAATCAAACAAAAGAGTGACTTTCAATAAGTATTATTTATAATCTATATTGAATAAAAAAGTTTCTGTTTCTGTTTCTGTTTCTATGTATTCGGCGTAGGGGTGTCCACTTAAAAATATATCGATATTTATACTCGATTTAAAACATCGGATCCCAGCATCGATGTTTATCGATATATCGCTAGAACATATCGATATTTTTCACTATCGAGTACTTTCCACAAAAGTTTAATTTTACCTTTCTCCAGTGAAACGCGCGAAGATTGTGGTCCTTAATTTTGTATGTGTGAATGTAAAATCAGAGGCCAGAGTAGTAAGTAAAAGTTTTACATAAACTTGTCTTAGATAAACGATCAAAAGAATAATTAATTAAATCGTTACCGCCAAACAGCAAAAGACGACGCAAGAAGAGTGAAAGTGAGTAACTGAAAGTAAATTTAATGAACCTACAGAATCCACAGACTACATGCATCGAAAGTGAATGGTCGATCGATTTGTCAGCAAAGATATGGTAATTAAGCTGGTCACTCACAGATATTACTTATCTTAATGAACCTTACTTAAAATTGAAATCATCAAGTAGTGTTAAAATTATTTAGTTTTTAATTGATTCGATAAAAAAGCAAATATTCGATGTTTCTATAAATAAATATATCGAATACAATAAATATTTTTGAAAACATCGAATCAATCCGTCAAATCAAATCGTTCAGAAAACATCGAATAAATTCGATATATCGATGTTAAGTGAATATCCCTAATTCGGCGGGCCTAAGATTTTTTGATAGAGTCCTTTTCATGAAAGAAGTCCCGCGGTGATTTTTGGAACTAAATTTGACAGATCGGCCATGTTGTCGTTCGTCGATGTTATCAAGTTCGTTTGTTGTGGTAGATTTTTATGAGTTTTAAACTAGCTTAGTGCATTTTAAAGATTGTTTACAATGCCAAAAATTGTAAAAAGTTCGGCTCGAGAAATGATATTGAAGGTGAAAGAATTCTGTGAAGCTGAACAAAAGAATCAAGGTGTTTTAATACCACTGAACAATATTCGGAAGAGAGTCGCCGCCATAACAGGTACTTGCCATATAATAATTTTTTGCTGTATTGATGGGACTTTTATGATATAAATTAGTTTTGCGACAAAATTGAACAAATACATAACGTGATGAAATTAGGTAACCGAAATTAAAACGTATATTACATAGTACATAAGCATTATAAACTTAAAGTGACTATTATTTTTAATTGTTCATTCTTTAATTGCAGGTGTGTCAGAGAAAACTATAACAAGAATTACAAAAGAAGGTATAACAGCGGCGAGTACTTCGAAAAAAATTGTCACCCCGGGGAAGAGTCGCCCGCATCCAAAAAAGTTCGACTTAGACGGGTTCGATTTGTGCGCTATTCGGCAAAAAATTCACAGTTTTTACTTTGTGCATAAAGAATTACCAACTTTGGCTAAATTACGGGCAGCTCTTAGAGAAGACATCAATTTTCAGGGAAGCATCACAACATTGCACAGGATATTAAGTAGGATTGGTTTCAAGTACAAGCGATGTCAATCCAGACGCAAACTACTTATGGATCGTCACGACATTACCGCATGGCGTGCAAGATATTTGGATAAAATACGAATAAATCGCACTGTGGAAAAACGACCCGTTGTATACTTAGATGAGACCTATATACACAATACTTATCATACAAAAAGTTGTTGGCAAAGTGAGGAGGAGCCAGGAATGTTCGTCTCAGAGTCATCAGGGAGTCGCTGGATAATCGCTCATGCGGGAACAAAAGATGGATTCATAAATGGTGCATTATTAATGTTTAAATCCCAATCAAAGTCCTCAGATTACCACGATGACATGAACTCTGCAAATTTCTTAAAATGAGTGACGGAAAAATTAATACCTAATCTACCTGAAAGGTCACTTGTGGTAATGGACAACGCTCCTTACCATTGCACTCAATTAAACAAAGCCCCTTCAATGTCAAATATAAAAAGTAGTATGCAGGAATGGCTCCGGCAAAAGGGTATATATTTTGAAGACACCTGGAGAAAAGCTGTGCTGTTTGAGCTAATCAAACAAAATAAAGGTCCACCGACATTTGCAGTGGATGAATTATTAACAGCTCACGGACACGAAGTATTAAGGTTGCCGCCTTACCATTGCGACCTCAACCCGGTGGAGAAAATCTGGAGCCTTGTAAAAAGAAAGGTGGCGGATAAGAATGTGGCACAAGATCCAAAAGAAATTGTAAAATTAACTGTAGAGGCATTTGAGTCTATTACGGCGGAAGATTGGTTAGCTCAGTGCACGCATGTTGAACATTTAGAGGAGGAATATTTAAAAAATGACGGCCTTATGGATGAAGAGATGGACCGAATAATTATATCTACGGCTAGTGATACTGAAACAGAATCTGATTCAGTTTCCATCCACTCTTCAGACAGTGATGTTCCTATGGCCGCTGATCACAATTATTCAATAAAACTCTGAATAAAAAATTGTAATGCTTTTCTTTACCCTATTTTCTCATCTTTTTTCTGTAAGTAGGTAGAACACCGCTTATAAAAGTAAATAAAAATATACTTTTTACATAACAGAAATATAGTAAATTATGTAAATGGACATTTTTATCAAAATTTATGTTTAAATAAACTTAAACTAGGAAATGTGACATCCCACGTTTCCCAGTACTGATCATGACCAAAAATCGTCGGCTTTTATTGCTTTGTTTTTAGTTTCTCACCTAAACACTGAAACTATTTAATATTTAATAAACTATATAAAAACACGACACTTACATAGTCATTATAACGTTAGTTAATTGGACTTATTGCATGAGTCATCCTATGAGTGGGTCGGTAGACATTTTGATAAAAATGCCCAAATATACATTTCACTTATCAGAAATATACATGTTTCACTTATCTGAACTATTGTTATAGTATTGGCTTAAGTAATGAAATTACAGCCTATCAAAAATGTATTTATTTCTTAATACAATTTAATAGTTTCATCGAAGTCTGCAGGAAATAATATTATTTGATTAATTACATATGCTAAATATAAAATAGGTAAATTTTTACTCATAAATGGCAACACTATGTCACGCGAGTACAGTGCTGCGGGGTTTTTGGCGGGAAATTGACCGGCGGCGGTTTGCTGCTCCTGTATTATTGTTTAAATAATGGTTTGAAGTGGACTTTGATATGTAAAAGTATTGCGATTTTGTGTATTAAGTGTCTACGCATGTGAACTATTAGTGGAAACAGTGAAACAAGTGCTCTGATGGTGATGGATTCTCAAGATAAGCTGTTTGTTTGCATAGGCACCTTTAGATACCATCGCCAACTATCAGCTGTCTGCTGGATCAAGTTGCCGCCAAAATCTCCCAAAAACTGCACAATGTGACGCATCAACATATTGTGAAGCAGTATACTATGAAGGAGTGAGGAAATTACAATAAACTGAATAAAAATACTTAAGACTTGGCCTAAAGGTCTAGATACCAGGCCATAAACTCCAAAAAAAAAAAGTACAGCGCTGCGTCTGGGGGACTTCTTTCATGAAAAGGACTCTACTTGCACAGATATCATATTATATGGTGTCTGTGGATTCTGGCATGCCATAGATGAAAAAATAAATGACAACCCACAGAAATTTAACATCATTGCCATTACACAAAATATGTGCTATAAACTTTCACCTTAGCATTTTAAGTTTATAAAGACTATTTTCTTTTGCTTACTATTGTAATATCCTTGTACCTATTGTAGATTGTTTTGACAAAATGGATACGCAAATGCATGCCTTGTTTTAAATCTCAATTAGAGTTGACATTATAAATTTTCTATAATATCTTACAATTTTTGTAAACACGCTTGTCGAATACACAAAATATATGTATAAATGTCTATTAGGCAAATACTATTTATTGCGGAAATAATGGCTTCCTAAAATTTAATTGCATATATTAATTGTAAGCGATAACTTAAATCTGTAGGAGAAAAGTTAATAAGTGTTCGTTGTTTTTTGATGGGAGCGAGTGTACATGGTGAATAATTGTGTCATCCGGCTTCTTTTCTCTTCATTTTCGTTCAGCGTCCCGTGCAAAAGATACAAAGAAATGTCATAAATGAGATTTTTTTTGTTTAATAACTCAACTAAATAATTTTTACACAACTATCAAATGCTTATGCTGTTATTTCTACATATTCTTATAAATGTTTGTTTTAGATCTTACTTTGAAAAATATTTTCTGTAGAAGCTGATGATTTGCCTTGCTAATAAAATGAATCCAAGTTAATTTTAAAACATTTCTCATTAAAAATGGGCGATACTGGTGGCACTGCTTCCGTAAGAAGCAAAATTAAAAGTAGGGTCGAGGAGGAGGAGGAATCAGAAGAAGAATTATTGGACAGTGGGGAAGACGATGAAACAATCGCAAGAATTCAACGTGCTCACTATGCACAAGCGGCTGCTATGAACCCTCGTCGGCGCGCTCCACCACGGCCTAGACCCATGAGTAACAAAAGAAAATTGGAAGCAGTGAAAACTTTTCATGACTTTACTAAAAAATTAAAAAAGGACACTGGAATAAGAATTCGTAGTTTAGTAGGAAACAATATTTTAGAACTAAGTGACTTTTCTAGTGATGATAGTGAATCAGATAGTGATGGTTTGTCGGAGAAAGAGTTTGTTGTTAATCCTAATGCAGTGCTGGAGTTAGAAGAAGAAAATGAAAGTTATATTGATCCAGAAACAGGAGATATTTTGGAAGGTAAGAAATTACAACAGAAACCATTAAGTTCAGATCACATTACACATAAAAGAAATGTTGAACAACAAAATATGGAACCAAAAACACTTTCAATCACTGACATTATTAATGAGGGTGATATAGACTTGTCAAAAAATGTTGAGATAGCAGAAGTGGAAACAAGTGAGTTATGTTCAGATAAATGCCCAGAAGAATTATTGAATATTAAGCAAGAAGAGGCTAGCCAAGACTTTGATGTTACAAATAAAGTAAACGAAATGGATAGTAAACAAGTTGAACCTACTGATAAAAAGATAAATGAGGAGGTGAATCCTGTACAGATTGAGAAAAAGTCAGAAACTGAGGATGAGGTAAGCATTATAAGATTAAGGACATTAGGTAATAAATAAAATATGACCAAACTGTTTATATTTATTAGAACAAATAACTATTTAAATTGAAGCATTTAGCTCTGTCCATGGTAGGTTATAATATTATTGTAAAATACATATTTATGTGTGGCCTATATTTTCTAAGTCAAAATATTTGATACTGTATTTCTACTTCTTGCTCTATGTATTTGAGAAATTCTTCAATAAACAAAGTATATAAGTAATAATTTAAAATAATTATAAATTTTGTACAACCGACTTCAATATAAATTAAGAGTAACTCAAAAACTATTGGTCAAACCTTAATCAAATGTATATGGGACCACATGTGAAGCACCAGCTTTCAAATAAAAAAGAATCATCAAAATTGGTTCACCCAGTAAAAAGTTATGCAAAAAATAAACATACAGTCGAATTGAGTACAGAAGTCGGTAGAATAAGCAGTAAAAGTACTCCTTACTAATATTACTGTCTATCTATCAACCAATATACTAATATAGAAAACTCATCTTAACCTACCTGTTGGATAAGGCTAAAAAACTTTATAAATTAGTATTGTTAGGTATTTAGAACAGATAATTTTTTATTATTGTACGTGTGAAATTATCAGCCTGATTATGTGAATTTGATTATTTATTCGTGGTAGAGCCAAGCTGCAGCTATATTATGGTTGTAGCACGAATGGGTTGGCTCGACCGTGTTTCGTATGGTGAGTGTAGAGAACCGGAGATCCTTTTTACTGGAAAAGAGGCATTCCATCTTAGTCCTCACGCCTGATACTGCGATCGTCATTCTGCCTTCTAAGCGCAACAACTAAGGCAAATGCTTCATTATACATCAGTAGAGGCCAATGTCCAGCAGTGGTAGTCTTACATGCTGATGAAGAACTTAAGATGTAAATTTTTTAGACTGACGCATATTTTTATGTATGGTAGTTAACATTCTGAGTATCTTGTTAATTGGATTTATCTTAAATGTTCTCATAATTCTAAATAACAGATAGTATTATTTTAAATGGCATCGACAATGATTATTTGTTTTTGTTTACCTACCTAATTGTGTTTACTGGACATTATTAATTATTTATGAATAGTGACTATCATAAAACATAATGTAGCAATGGATCCATCATGCTGCTCCATTGCATGTTGGTGAACTTCTCAAGTCCTAGAAATATTTCCTTTATCTGACATGCAGTATTCTTCATGATTCCCTTTCCTTCACCACTAGCAAATAATAAATCAGCACATAAAATTGCAACTAACAATTTCATTGGTGTTGTCATGTTTCAACTCTGACTACCTCTCAAACAATGAAATTTATATTGAACAATTAGTGCCCTGAGCTACCATAGCTCATGAATATTCAAGAGTGTAATGATATATGTATGTTTAAAAAAACAATTTTTTGTCTAATATTGATACTGAAAAAATGCATTTCAGAAAAAAATAACAAATGTTAATGCACTAAATGTAAGAAGAAATATAAGAGAAGTTATGGATGAGAAAAATTTAGATGCCTCAACCTTAGCAGCACAACGGCAAGAGTCTGAGCGTTTAGCTCGTGTTCAAGAACAACAGAGAATCATCAGAGAGGTTAGTATGGGATTTATGTTCATTTGGTGTATTAAAATGGGTAGTTTATTGATAAGATTAATATTACATTATTATTGATATTTGTGATGCTATGATACAAGATAAATTGTTAGAATTTCAGTATATTTTGAATTTTTTTAGGTACAAAAACAAATTGCAATAAACAGACAAAATAAAATTCATCAGAAAACCCTGTCATTACTACAAGGTGGATCTTCGTTACTAAAGAAGTCAGGTCCTGGACACAAGTTAAAGTATGTATTTAAATTACTTAAAAGACACTAATAACTACATAATTGGAATACTACGAGTAGTAATGCTTATAATTATTTTTAGTTTACCCAACACAGTATTAGTGAAGCTACCATCTGGAGAAGTTAAAAAGACTACTCTAAAACAAGGTCAAGTAGAGGTGACAAAAGTCCCAAAAGCTACAACATCTGGTTCATTATTCCCACAAAAAATAGGAAAACATGATCAAAGATCAGAGAAAAAGGAGGTATGTACAAGTGTTATAAAATTTGTTTTCACCCGACTTTGCAACAGTAAATACAGGGTTTTTTTTACGCATAACTGGGTATATATGAGGGATTCTTTATACCCCCAGAATATCCCAACACCTGGGGATGGATTTTAGTCAGTGAGGTGTTATTTGATTCATCTAAACTGAGATGGTTAAAAGCTAAGTTTTGTTTTCATAAAACTGAAATGTGAAAATGAAAAATGTGTAACATATTGAGTGGCCTTTCAAAATGAAGTGGATATTTCTTAGACAATTTTACTGCCGTAGGCTATGTTTAAGAATTACACAACCTGAAAGTTGTTATTAAAAGGTTATAAAGTTAGTATAGATTGAATATGAGATAATATATCATCTTATATTAGTTACATTACCATATTTGGATTTTATTTAATAATAATTTACTTGTAAATTACAATCAACATTTTGACATGAAAATTAACAATGAACACATTCAACAATGGTGGCTTGTTATATTGTTTTTTTGAATATACTTCCTTGATGACTTTGTCCATATTGTGACTATGATCTGGAAAAAGGTTTAAATTATTTTTTAAATATTTTTTGTTGCTTAGGTTTCCATTGACATACAAAATACACTTATAAATTAACTAGCATCCCGCCCTGGCTTTACCCGGGTTGAACAATTATCTATATATGTATAATATATTTCAAATTTAGCTTAGTAGATATAACTTATTACTTCTTTGTGTAACACGTTTTTGTTCCATTTTTCTGCGACTTTAATATACATTGACTCTCCGCATTTCCTGACCTAGAGAGTTCAATATATCATTGTACGTGAGTAAAACAATCTTCCCTTAAATCAAGTCCAATATATTTGTATGTTTGACCTTCAGATTTGTTCATGGTGAAGGCGAAAAAACATTTTATTGGAAACTGTAGTCACTTGACTTTGAAAGATAATTAATAGAATCAGACGTTACTTTGCAGAAATCCATTATCTTAAAGTTAGTAAAAATTATCTCGTGTACATCCACTCGATAAAATAAAATTATGTGTCTTACCTAGTTTGAAGAGCTGATGATGTGTCTTACCCAGTTTGAAGAGCTCTTCAAACTAGGTAAGACACATAATTTTATTTTATCGAGCGGATGTAAGCGAGGTAATTTTTATTAACTTTAATAGCTTAAAGCTAAATCTGTAGGGATTATGGGAATGCGGGGAATATGAGCCGACTGACCTGCCTCTGTTCCTGTAAGAATGATACTCTCAATCACATTATTACGTAGCAATTTTACTTGAAGTCTAGTTCCTTTGCATTGATTAGGCTGATTCAGGTTTCGCAATAAAGTTATTGGAATAACGACTTTCATTTTTTGGGTATGAGGGGGAAGTCCTGAAGGGTTAAGGGAGTTAAGGAATACCTGTGGGTAATGCATAGTATCCTCTGTATCTAATACGGTATCAACGGATTTATATATTTTTTGATTACCTGGTATTCTTTCTAATATTTGAAAACTATTAATATTTGATCAACAGAAGAATTTCTTGGCGAAACTATTGCCCTCTCGCATATCCATGTGTAATCTTTTTGAGAAATATTCTCAATGGCTGGGTAAACATTTAGAATCAAATAATTAAGACTTGAGATAGACTTTTCTAACTCATCTTTTTTAATAAGGCCATCTTCTTCAGGTATTCCATCACCTACTCTTAATAAAAACTCACAAAATGCGTATTAGCTTTTCCTAAAATGGGCTCTCCTGTTTGTTCTTAAGGTACAGAGCTCCATAAAGGAGACGCCTTTAAACAGGCGTTAATATCTGCGCGTGTTCCTCTAGGCACAACAGGAAGAGTTTGACGAAAGTCACCGGCAGACACGAAGGTGACGTCTCCCATAATTTTATCTGAACTTCTTAGGTCTTTTAGAGTTCTGTATACAGCTATATATGAGCGGTGGCTCATCTTACATTCGAGCCCACATTATGAGATAGAAATATTTAATAAGCTTGCCCAGTGACCCGTATTTTCGTATGGAACATACAGATTCTTTCTGGATGGAGACACTTAAAGACAGATTAGATTTAAATAAATGGGTCAATAAGAGAAGTTGCGGCTACACCAGAAGAAGTGCACCGCAAGTGCCAGTTTGCCTATAAAAATCCCGAATTCGGATACTTTTGACTTAAAAATAAAGAAAGGAATAAAACATATATATTCTTTAGACAATAGTTAATAAATATCCTCAAACAAAATAAAAAAAAATCATTTTTATACATTTCTTTATATATTTTAATGAGTCAAAAGTATCCAAAATCGGGATTTTTCAAACCTTCAAAAATTCATAACTAACAAAAGTCATAGAACCTTTTTTATATGTATTTCATCAAAAAATTCCTTGCGATAAAAAAATCGGTTTAAACAATGTGGTAGCAAGTTGCCCCGTTGTAACATGTATTTATATCATCAGTAGGACAATTTGTTGAGGTGGAATAGTTATCAGTACTCATGCGCCGATTCCTCCTAGACTTAGTGGCTGATTTATTTTTCACGTGTCTGATCATTTGGGGTTGCTTACTTTGACACGTTATTTTCCCCTCTGCACACCGCAGCTCCTCCCGTCCTTGCCGCGTCGACCGCCATCATTACTATACTATCGTGAGAGAGTTTTTATATAAAAATGGTTATTGTGAGTTATCCTTAGAAGATAGACATATGCTGTCGCGGATTTTTTTTACAACACTTTGACAGTAAGAATTCAGTTATACATTATTTTCATGCAACTTTACCTATTGATGCAGCGCACGCTGTGAAAGCTCACAAGAGGCACGACTTTTTACAACTTAGTTGACAAATATCATCACAACTCTTAGCCATAATATGTATACATATATTCTGTCACATGTTTAATATAAAATAATTGAAACAAGTTTATTCATTATGTAACCATTTATATACCAAAATGAACTTAACAAAACATAGATTCTTATGACACTAAAGTTTATTCAAAATGACCTCCGTGATTTTGAATACAGGCCTTCAATCTGCGCGACCAGTCGTCTAACGCAGCACGAACGAGGTCCATGTCAATATCGGCGGCTGCCTTAATCAAGGATATCTTGAGTGACTCCAAATTGGGATGAGGCTTTGAGCACGCCTTTTCCTCCAAGTGTTGCCATATCTTGTAATCTAACGGATTCAAATCTGGACTGGAGGAGGGCCAGATTTCGTGCCGGATGAAGTCGATTTCACGCGCCGCCAGCCAGTCTTGTATGCTCTTCGCTCTATGAGCTGGCGCCGAATCTTGTTGGAATACCCAGTGCCTGTTATTGAACATGGTATGAGAAACAGGTTCCACAAGGTTTGTCAGGACTGTATTTTGATACACAACTGCATTCGTTTTTACACCTTTCTCACAAAAATGTACCTCTGTTAAGCCCCAATAAGAAACTCCCAACCATACCATGAGCGAGGATGGAAAATGACCTCATTGGACACGCGGAATACGGTTGCTCGCTTTTTCACTACTGGGTGCGTACACCTTATCATTTTGTTGTAGCTCTCTTCTACGGTAAAAATTTTTTCATCCGAAAAAAGAATTTCCCGATAATTTTTTCCCGCGTACCGCTTCAACAAAGCGCGGCATCTCTTCATTGTCAGGTCCATTAGATCAGCATTCAAACGATGTCCTGTTTTTCTTCGATATGCCCGAAGCCCTAAGTCTTCATTTAACACCCTTTTCACTGTGGTTCTGCTTAACCCCATCTGAATGAAGGGCCAACAGTTTCTGCTTACGTTTGGGATTTCTTTGAATTCGCGCCTTCACAGCTTTCATCACTGCTGGAGTCCTAACAGACCGAGGGTGACCACTTCTTGACCTGTCAGCTACACTAGAGTCTTCATTGTATCGTTTGATGGTACGATAAACGAATCTTTTGGTTATATTCAAATTTTTCAGTATGTCAAAAATTTGAATTGGCGCGTAACCGCAACGATGCAACGCAATAACTGCAACACGGTCTTCTTTAAGCGTTCACTCCATATTTAAAAATGAGTAAAATTCTAAAAAGTATACAGTTTTATTTTCATGAACAATTCGAAATTCGAATTCAATAAACTTTTTTGTGGCCAGCATTGTAAAAGAAAAGTTTTTACTGTGTGACAATACTTATGACCTGACTAGGTATGTACACAAAATATATAGCCTATGTCCATCTGGAATAATGTACTTTTCAAATTTTGAAAGAAATTTTCAAATAAGTAGTGGTTCCGGAAATTACCCTCCACATATATACAAACTTGAAATTCGCACTCTCTCTTTATAATATAAGTATAGATTGTAAGTTATCCTTAGAAGATAGACATATGTTGTTCGAGACTTTTTTGTAGAACCTTTTAAGAGGAACAATTCAGTATTACATTATTTTCGTTCAAATTTAACCATTGATGCAGCGCCCTCTGTGGAAGCTAAAACGAATGAAGAAAAAAACGATTCTGTGAAAGCTCTCAAGAGTTCCACAAGAACTTTCACAGAGTCGTTTTTTTCTCTCAAGAGTCGTTTTTTTCCGACTTTGTTGACAAATATCATCAAAACTTTTAGTCATAATATAAATATATACACATAATATGTAGCCTACATCCATCTGGAATAATGTATATTTCAAATGGTGAAAGAAATATTCAAATAGGTGCAGTGGTTTTGAAGATACCCTCCACATATATACAAACTCACAAACACTCTTTATAATATGAGTATAGATTGAATCTGTGTTTATGTTTTGCAGCATTATAACTTATAGTTTTAAAAAATTAACTGAAATTTTAAAAATGTTACTGATAACCTGCACAGTGGAATCATACATTGCAAATGGCCCAAGAAAAACTATACCTTATATTTAAATATATATTATAGGAACTCTGACTCTCTTCTGACCATTTAATAAATTTGTTTAAAATACTAATTCCAGGTGGTTGAAATTGTTGACAGTAGTAGTGGGGAAGAAACTGCATCTTCAACATCAGATTCCGATGATTGTATAATGTTATCTGATTCAGAAGTTCCACCTAGTCCTGAAGCTGAAGATGATCCAGCTAATTCAGGTTAAATTTGACAACTATAATTCATATATAATTCAACATTATTTTTTGTATAAGCTCTCTGCCAGTTTCTAACAATTGCGTATACTCTGTGCAGTAGGTTGGTGAACGCAAAGCCACTTGCACTGGTAAGGCAATTTCTCATCATCACTATGACGTCGGCAACGAATTCTTCCCCAAAAACATTTTGATTGTGATTTATTTTTATTTGGCATTATTTCTTCCTCATAAAGAAAAATATGACATAAAACTGTGCTTATCTCTTTGATGTTATCCTTTATAGGTTTACATGTAAATGATGCATATAATACACCAGATGAACAAGGTCGCGTTTTAATTAACATTGGTCATCCGGAAACCGAAGAAGACATATTTTTAGCTCCACAAATAGCCAGGATAATCAAACCACATCAAGTAAGTATTGTTCTATTCAATTAAAATTTAAATGAAACTCACAGAGTTTTTAATAATGAAATAAATCAAAAAACAACAAAATAGCAATGCATCCTCTCTATAAACTTTTCCTGTAACTATAACAACAAGTAGTTATTTCAGAAATTGTCTTAATTGATGATGGTGTTTTAATGGACGAATTCAACTATGGCATCAACTTCTAAATACTGTCGGAAACTTTCAACTATGCAGGAAACACAATAAGTGTATGTGCTTACACAAACACACTCCCTCTCTAACCTAATCTAACCTACGCCGCGTCCAATGTAACACATGTATGTGATAAGAGTGGAGGCAGACCAAGATGTGCGGTCATAGGTTCAAGTGTAAATATTGTTCTATTTTCAGATTGGAGGGGTCCGCTTTTTATTTGACAACATAATTGAATCTGTAGAGCGATTTTCGACATCAACGGGATTTGGGTGTATATTAGCGCATTCCATGGGTCTTGGAAAAACATTGCAAATTGTGTCTTTCTGTGATATATTTCTGAGACACACAAGCTCCAAGACTGTGCTTTGCATTATGCCTATTAATACACTTCAAAATTGGGTAATTAATAATATTTATTTTTTTCCTTCACCATTTTTACTATACAATTAAATGCAGATGAAGAGTTCTCTTCCTTGATTAGAAATAAATTTTAATGCTTATTTAGTTGGTAGGTTTAGATTATCATCTTTTATGAACATTTTGTTTCTTATGAGGATATTTGTGGTGGAAGAAATTTGAAAAATAAGGTTTTAACAATCTATTGTTATCGCGATTTGCCCAAACAATGGAGCTTGGCAACCGAGAGAGACAACTGCAACTCGAACTAATTGCACTTATGAATAATTGACGAAATAATCACCCGTTCCACCAAAACTGGACCAAATTTTTCAAAACAATATAAAAAGGATTGTGACTATGTTTTTATTTAATTTTTATATTTGGAATGTCTAATAACGGTGGCATAACAAGACAATTTTAGTCTAATTTTAATTAATTTATTAACTTTACGTCTTGACAGTGGCAACAATGTTCCACCTGAATTACCTCACTGCGGGACCTCTATATCGGAGGTTTGTATCACAAACAAGGAGGTTCTTAAAACCTTGCGAAGTTTAGATGTGAATAAAGCTAGTGGACCAGATGGTATACCAGCTTTACTTCTAAAGGCTTTTGCACCTGAGTTGTCTCCTGTGTTGACACGCTTGTTCCGCCTCTCATTTATGACTGGAATAGTGCCAAAATCCTGTAGGCTGGCAAAAGTGCAGCCTGTTCCAAAAAAAGGCAGCCCGACACGGCCAATTATCGGCCAATCTTAATTACCTTCATACTCTTAGAGATTATGGAGCGTATATTGAACGCCCGCCTCATGACAGACCGCCAGTACGGGTCTCGCCGAAATCGGTCCGCTGGGCATGGTACAGAGATCAGTCAAGAGTCAGTAGGGATCAAATCCAGTCCGATAGAGAAGCTATGGTTGAGCTTGTGAATCTCACACTACGAGCAGTCTCCGAATAGGGCGATGCCAATCTTGTGAAATTCAGCGTCTCCAAAACACAAGCGTGTCTTTTTACTGCAAAAAGAAGCCAGCTCACCTTCGCTTCTTCTTTCCGAAATGTATTACTAGAATATACCGACCTCCTTCAGTTGTTGGGGGTTGAGATATCCTTAAATCTGAACTTTGGGCGGTGAAAGGTGCGGCGGTATACTTCACGCCGGGACAGTTGCCATATATGGGCATATATGGGCTGGTGCTGCAAAATGCCACGTAACAGATTTGGACTCAATGGAAAGGCGTGCTAAGAGGCTTATTTGTGACCCCAATTTGGTTATAACCAATCTTACCAGCCTCGAACACAAGCGCAAAGTCGCTAGCCTTCGTTTTTTAATATTATTGTGTCCACTCTAAAGGGTCAGGGCGCTAAGACAGTGTATCAAAGAATTGAAGCCTCGATTTCAGAAGATAATAAATAATGTGGGAGTTACGATATTCTTTTTTTTTTAAATAAGTGTTTATATTTTCTTTAGTTTTATGATTGCCAATTTGAATGAAAAATTATAATATCTATTGCATTGCAGGTAGCGGAATTCAATATGTGGCTTCCTTTGGATGCAACAAATAGTCCACTCGCAGCCCACGGCGAAGTGCGACCACGCAATTTTCCTATTTATGTTTTAAATGACAGTCATAAAACACTTCAAATGCGTGCCAAAGTCGTTAAGGTAAGAAAATGTTGTGTAAATCATAAAAATAATTTCTTGTGAATATAATAAGTATCATAAAATGTGAATATTCTATAATTCTTTTAACTAAGTAGTTTCGGCAATACGCGACTTTGAGCGAATTTTTCTTGCAATTCTAAATTCTCGCATACTTGACAATAAAGAAAAAATATACTGAAATAAATTGTAGTACCATACATAATACCTTTTTCCATTGTTTTACGATTATAAATATTTTATTTTTAACGTTATATAAATGTGTACATATTAATTATCATAGTCTATACATTTCTGAATCACTTATTAACATTACAGGATTATTCTGTTTCTTATACTTTGAGTAATATCATGCTCTACCTAGAAGTAACCGATTCCCAAAGATGGTGCAATACAAATTTGTTATGAGAAAATTATGACTGTTTTAAGTGTCGTTTTGAATTGACACTTCTCCTTTACACTCCATTCTTTTTTTCTAGGATTGGACTTCAACAGGTGGTGTACTAATGATAGGTTATGAGTTGTATCGACTTTTAAGCATGAAAAAGGATAAAAAACCTCGTAAGAAAAAAAAGGTCGATGTGAAAGCTGAAGTAGAGAAGGAGAAAGATGGACAGAAAAATGATAAAACCGATGTAAATGATGATACGCAGGTTTGTTTCAAAATAAATATATATTTAAGTTAGTATTACAAAAATTTTAAAATTGGGGGTATCAATGGGAGAGTACAGTAGACTGTTTTTTATTAATAAACCGCCGCAATAACCCTCATCCGTGAATTATTAGAGTGCGCCTCGTGCAGATGAGGTTGACACATTCAGAAATCGTAGTTATTCTACCTTTTACCCTAAAAAACGTTGTGCGGAAACTTGCACGTTTGAGGTATAAATTATATCGAAGACATGGGAAGTCCGTTACCACACTCATTGGAGCAGCAGGGCAGACTAATTGCTCTATAAAACACCAGAATTGAGAGGAGGCAGTGGGACATGTATGGCTGTAACTATTTTTCCATGCTTAATATACTATTTTTAGGAATCTGAAAGTACAATGTCAAAACCATCTGAAGAATATCGAGTAGGTAAAGAAGATGGCGAGAGTCTAAACAAGACTGACCTAGATGCTAAAGAAAAGGAAGAAAAGAAGGAAGATGTCCCTACAGATGAAGACAAAAAGCTTTTGGATGGTAAGTATGCTTTAGTATTTTGGAAAATTTGTGTGCTTTCCATTTATCCCGTGGAAGATAATGTTATTAGACAAAATATGTCTTATCTTTTACTCAATGGGAAATTTGACACTAGTCAATGGATTATTTTAAAAGCTGTCAAAATAAACTTTGATAATGAGATTGTATGGGAATATGGTGTGATGATGTCATAGGTTTTGTAGTCATGTATTCATCTTATATATTTTTAAATGTTACGAGGGCGGCACTGAAAATTTCGGGAATCAAGGAAGTGACACAACATTACTATTTAAAAATGTATTTATTGCTTTTCGAAGTATTCTCCGCGAAATTTGACACATTTTTCCATACGATGGAACCAATCATTGAAGCAACCATTCCATTCGGAAGTTGGGGTCTCCAAAATGGCCGTTTTGTAGGCGTCCACAGCTTCTTCAGGTGATGAAAATATCTGTCCACGCAATTTATTCTTTATTTTAGGGAAAGTATAGAAATCATTAGGGCTTAGGTCGGGGCTGTACGGCGGATGGTCTAATAATTTTATGTTTTCTCGCTCTAAAAACTCTTTTGTTCTGTGTGCGGTGTGAGAACTCGCATTGTCGTGATGGAGGGTGATGCGGCGGTTGCAGTTCTCTCTACGGAGTTCAGAAACGACCTGTGGCAAACAAATGCTAGCATATACCATTCTGCATTAACCGTTCTTTGTCTCTCTAGAGGAATAGTCGTAACATGGCCGGTTTTGGAGACAAACGTAGCCACCATTTTTTTTGCAACACTCCGTGAACGAACAATTTTTGTTGGCTTTAATTCATTTTCGAACACCCAAACTCGTGACTGGTTTTTTTTTTCGGGTTCGTACGCGTATATCCAGGATTCGTCACCTGATACGATGTTGTATACAGCATTTGAGGATCCTGCGTGGAATCTTTCGAGAGTTCTGACGCACCAAGTAACGCGAGCCGCTTTTTGCTCTTCACAGAGCGAAAGCGGTATCCATCGGGAAAGCAACTTTTTTACACCTAATTGTTCTTTTTTTTTATAGGATAGGGTGACAAACGAGCACACAGTCCACCTGATGGTAAGTGGTTACTGTGACCCATGGACATCTACATCTATCATCAATAAAGACTCAAGATGCAGATGCGTTGTCACCCGTGAGGACTAAGATGGAATGCCTCTTTGCCAGTAAAAAGGGTCTCTGGTTCTCTACACTCACCATACGAAACAGAGCAGCGTTAAGCTGCTATTTTACGCTGGTTTTCTGTGAGAGCGTGGTCCTTCCCCGGTCGAGCCGACCCATTCGTGCTACAACTATACTACTAATATAGCTGCAGCATGGCTCTACCACGTTAATGTATGTGTTCATGCAAAATTATTTGTATTTGACTCATGCCAATGTCTAAAGTTGCCTGAATTTCGCGGTATGTCGATCACAGCATCAACGTTTTCTTGGGTGACTGCAGTTTTTGGACGACCTTGACGGGGATCATCACTGAGCTTGACACGTCCACGTTGAAATTCAGCAAACCAGCGATAAATTGTGGTTTTGGATGGGGCTTCATTACTAAATGCAGAAATCATCCGGTCAACACACTGTTTTTGTGTTAAACCACTTGGAAAGTCATAATAAAACATCGCTCTTGAATTTTCTCGAGTCAATTCCATTTTCTCAACGACTAAACAAGTTTGACAAAACCTTGTGACAAGACCGAGAATCTTTTTTTAAATAAATAAATGGTATTCGATTTTTAAAACCAAGGAGTTTTCAATTAAAAAGATTTTAATATGACAGGAACAGTGGAAATATTCCATTCCCGATACTTTTAGTGCAGCCTATGTATAAGTCTTTGAGCCTTTTGTTAGATGATGTCGTGTCTCGTGGAAGAAATTGATACCACCCGAAAATGAGGCGATTTATCAAAATTTTTCCTTTCATAATCGATGATTTGAGTTGAATATCGTACTCAGATTTAGGAAAACATTTTTTGATCTTAAATGATATTTTTTTGTTGAACAGAAATGTATGAGGCCTTGGTTCGACCAGGGCCAGACTTGGTGATATGTGATGAAGGCCACAGAATAAAGAATTCACATTCAAACATATCTTATGCTTTAAAACAAATGAGAACGAAACGTCGTGTTGTCCTTACAGGTAAGTGCTGTTATAAAATTCAGTCCTAGCCAACTGGTACAGTGCAGCACCTTTATAAACCTAAAATTATAATATGTATTAATATGTATGTTATCATACGTTCAGAAATAAAAGATCTTTATTTTCAATGAATCATCATCATCATCATCATTACAGCCCATCATAAGTCCACTGCTGAACATAGGCCTCCCTCAAGGAATGCCACAAAGCACGGTCCTGAGCCACCTGTATCCATCGACTTCCTGCATGTCTTACCATGTCGTCACTCCATCTAGTGGGGGGACGCCCTACCATAAATAATCTATGTCAATGCTGATAATAATAAGAAATTACACAATTGGAAGTGTATTACGATTGATGGCTGAAAAAATACCTTTAATAACAATAGAAAAATTAGAAAAGAAATAATCTGAAAAAAGTGGAGTACATTGGAATTTAAAAGTTTTAATTCACTTTGACAAGTTTGCTTCATTTTAGACATTTTTTATGTTAATTCCATGCTTCCATGTTCTCACGGCAAAATCGTGGATGTTTAAAACACGACTTAGGAAAATGCTGGAATGATCTTGTGGTTTCCAATAAATTATATCGGAATAACTCATATTAGTCTTGTAAGAGGCGACCCTGGAATATGCCAAAATGGTCTTATGACTTCCGATAAAAGTAAAGTGAAGTGTCAGCTTATATACGTTCTACTGCTGGGCACATGGCATCCCATTTCTGAGGATTTTTATGGTATGTGTGTATGGCATGTTGCACAAGACTTATATTTGGACGTAGTTATGCAAAAAGGATCCAACCCGCGGTAAGTTAATTTAAGTTTATATATAAACTCAAATTATCGGTATGGTTTCTGTCTGTTTGTAATTTTTCTTCTTGTGTTACTTTTACTAAAATTTTTACATCACATAATAGTATAGACCACAAACATTATTTTTCAAGTAAATATTTTTGACACAAACTCGGTTGGATCCTTTTTGCATAACCACGTCCATTTAACAGTAGATTATTATAGGCAGACGAGGATGGAGGAGGGCATTAAAAAATTAAAAATAATTCTTTATAATTTTTTTTGATTCTAAGAAGAACATATAAATTCAATTTTATAAAAATGTTTTGTAATTGCATGTATATTATAATATAATTGCATAATTATAATACTAGAATATAAAATATAATACACGGGTATTTTCAGGATATCCTTTACAAAATAATTTATTAGAATACTGGTGCATGGTGGACTTTGTGAGGCCGAATTATCTTGGCAGTAAGACTGAATTTTGTAACATGTTTGAACGTCCAATACAAAATGGGCAGTGTATCGACTCTACACCACAAGATATAAGGCTCATGAGGTATCGAGCGCATGTTTTGCACTCGTTGCTTGTGGGTTTTGTACAGAGGTATGTAGTTAATATATACTAGATCGTTGTATTAATTCAATTAGTGCTAATGATATACCTATTGTGTCTACTTTAGAATGACTGAACATAAAGCTAAGTGTATAATCAAAAAGTGTCATTATATAATATGTTCTGATAATTGTGTAATTGTAAAAGTGTATGACCAATATGACAAGGAAAGGATTTATCTTTTCCTTTATTCAGAAATAAATGTTGGAAAATCGTCCTAATGTTTATTTTTGCATAAGTTTTTTTTTAAAATGATTTATATATAGGACACTGTGATTTCATTATTTTGTAGGCACACTTCATTGCCTCTATCGACCTTTGCTTAGTGAAAATTGATTTATCCTACATCTTGTGTAAAAATAACCAAAATAAAACACTAAAATGAAACTACTTGATTGATTTTTCATTTACGATAAAGAATCACTAGAGATTTATCATTTAATGTATTGAACCCAACAACCCTCTGATAATGACAAATGTTATGTTATAATAATTATTTACGTTGCACAGACGATCTCATGCTGTGCTGCAGTCGACTTTACCACAAAAAGAAGAATATGTTCTTCTTGTGCGCATGACACCCTTGCAGCGGAAATTATACGACAGATTCATGAATGAAGTTGTTCGATCTACATCAGTGCCAAATCCATTAAAAGCATTTGCTATTTGCTGCAAGGTAAATTTAGTCTTACAAACCAAATACTTAATGCAGTCTAACATAATGATGTATAAACATGCTTGGTTTTTCAGATATGGAATCATCCAGATGTTCTGTATAAATTTCTCAAAAAGAGAAGCGAAGCAAATGCTGCAATTGAGGAAGATTTGGATTTAGAAGAAATAGGTGGAGTTACTAAAGCAGGTCGATCAAAAGCTAAGAAAACTTCAAAAAAGGCACCTAAACCACGGGTAGGTTTTAAAACATTTCTTTTAATAGAAAACTATAATATTGAATATTAAGAGATTTATTGTTAATTTTATAGGGTTCATCAAAAAAACCCGCTGCAAAAATACCTCCCAATACTACTGGTTCTGGGAATGCTCCTTCTAATTCCGGCCCTTATGAAAACACACAGCTTCCTTCAAGTAATGGCCCTTTCGGACCTCCAGGCCATTCAGGACCTCCAGGTTCTTCTAATTCTTTTGGAACGGAACGACCTGAAGGTTATCCCCCTTATCCAGAATACCATAATTCTGGTCAGGGGTATTATCCTCCTAACCAAGGTTTTAACCAAGAATACAACAGTAATTATTACCAACAACAACCTCCATATAGCAACAACTATCCAAACCAGTATCCTCAAAATAATCCTGATTGTAATCAAGGTTATAATCAAAACTATTGGAATAATGGCAATTTTTATGGTAACACGGAATACTATAATAATTCACAATATCCAAATGCGCAACAGCAGCCTGAATATACAGGTAATACACCAGGAAATTTCAACAACACGCAAACATATCCACCGAACTATAACACGATTGATAGTAATAATCAGTCATATCCTGGTAACCAAATACAACAGTATCCTAATAATGAAGAAAATTTCGCCAATCAACATAGGCCTTCATTTCAAGGACCTTTAGATCCAAATTCCCCTGGTTATACAGCATTTGATTCTAATACACCAGCACAAAATAACTATCCCAATAATCAAGCACCTCAAGATTATTCAAATACATCTTTTCAGTCCGCACCATTTCCTGGCAATAGTACTGAATATGGAGCCAATCTTCCACCAACATTTAACCAATATGAAAATCAAAGCCCAAATTTTACTGGGTATGGGAATAATATGCCGCCCAGTCAAACGCAAAATACTCCTATGCCAAATCAAACACCAATCAAAACAGAAATAAACATGGATAATAACTACCCACCTACTGAAAGCAAACCCGAACCCAATTTTTCACAGGATACTGCTCCTCCATTTGACAGTTCTTTTAACTATCATCAACAAAATCCTTCTCTTTACTCGGACCAATCAGAAACAGGTGCAAACGGTAGTTACCCGTGTCACTATCCAACATTTCCTTCTGCTCTTGAAACTAAATCGCCATTAGGCAGTGCTGGAAGTCCAGTTCCCTCATGGCCCTTAGACGCAATCAAAACTGATGTGGATAAAATAAAAAACGAGGAAAAACTAGAAATGAAATCTGAATCGGATGGTGAAGTTAAAATAGAAGATTTGGATACTAAAACTATAGTTAAAGACGAAACAAAGAGAGACACATCTAAGATAGCAACTTCCCCTAAAAAACAAGTTATAGAATTAAATAAGGAAGAATTGGCACCTAAGGACCAATCTAAAAGTGACATATCTGAATCCGATCATGAAAATGTGAAAAAAGGTAAACAAAAAGGCAAAAGGAAAGAGAGAAAAAAAGCGGAAAAGCCAAAGCCTAAAGGTCGAGCAAAAGCTAAAGGCAGGAAGGAAAGAAAAAAATCAAAGGAAAAGAATAACGATGATTCAGAATCTGAAGAGAGTGAGAAGGAAGAAAAGAAAAATAAAGAAGAAGAATTAGCAATGTTAAAGAAGGCTGAAGAGATGACTTACGATTGGGCAACAGAATTATTAAAAGACTATGTACCAGGAATAATTGAAAATTCCGCCAAGATGGAGTTATTCTTTTACATATTAAATGAAAGTATTAAAATTGGCGATAGGTTATTACTTTTTAGTCAGAGTCTGTTTACTTTAAATCTAATCGAAGATTACTTAGAGAAAAATTACATTCCTGGTACTGATTGTTTATGGCAAAGAAATACTTCCTACTATCGTAAGTATTTTTAACGATGAGTATAATATTTTTTTTTGCTATTAAATAATCTTTTAAATTATTTTCTTTCAAACTGCTAATATGAGCTTGAGGGTATTTTCATTCGCGGGTATTAACATTTTCATAACTTTACAGGACTAGATGGGTCTACTCATGCGTTAGAACGAGAGAAATTAATAAATGAATTTAACGCAAACCAAAACATATACTTATTTCTTGTGTCCACACGAGCAGGTTCTCTTGGGATTAATCTCGTAGGTGCTAATAGAGTAATTGTTTTCGACGCCAGTTGGAATCCTTGTCATGACACACAGGCTGTTTGTCGTGTATACAGGTAAAGTTAATGATCATATTATCTAACTACTATTACTTTAATTTTATCACAGAAATCCTTCTTTAGTATATCCTAAAGAAATGTAAAAATCAGTTTTGTTTTATTAAGATATTTATTTACTTTTTGGCACAAAAATATTTTTTGTTTCTAGGTACGGTCAGCAAAAACCATGCTTCGTTTATCGTTTTGTAATGGACTGGTGTCTCGAAAAGAAGATATATGATCGGCAAATCAATAAGCAGGGTATGGCTGATCGGGTGGTCGACGAGTGTAACCCAGATGCTGTACTGTCAATGAAGGAGATCACAAATCTATGTTTTGATAATGATGAAAAGGTAAATATTAATTTACTAAATTTATTTAACTTAAGTCAGTCAGCATGTCTGGAAATAAGGTCTTGTCCAGTGTTCATTAAGCCTTGGATGTACTTGGGGACAAAAGGAGCGGCATGTTGCGTAACGTGTCGCTCAACAACTACGTGGAATGTCCTGAGACATATTATATGTCGCGGAACATTTTGCAGGCCACACTAGTCAGTGCTTATAGAAATGTCGCCCGAGGAGGTTGTAGCTATTAGTGCTGCGTACATAGTACTTACTTATTTCGGGGATGAAACGTAAGGGAAAGAGAAGGTGGTGGATGCGGAATTTCTTACTACAACGAGAAGAAAGAAGAATTAATATTATAAGTGATCTCCGAATGTCTGACGGTCTTTTGTAAATTTTACTCCAATGTCAACATCCGATTTTGAAACTTTATAACAAATGATTGGACCTCCATAGCTAAACAGGATACAATACTACGAAACGCTGTTCGCCCTCATATTAGACTTGCCATTGCATTAAGATTCTTATGCTTCCTTGTCGTACACTTTTCGGGTGTCGAAACAACTGATCGGTAGAATAGTACCAGAAGTTTTTGCTCGAGAAGTAAAAGCTGATTCGTTTCCCCACACTACTCACATGTTGCAAGGCACGTTGCGCACACGACTACACCCGGGAACAAATGGTGCCACACTGACGCGTGACACGTGCGCTCGCTCTCGGAGTAGGAACAAGCAACATATCCTGCGTCACGTAAAATGTTGCGGGCCATGTTGCGGATCACTGTGCAAGGTTGTATCGTCACGTAGATTGAGTGTTCCGCGTCATGTTGCGGGGCAAAATGTCCCCTAGTGTATCCGGAGCTTTAATCGCATGCTGCGTGCCAGACACTAGACTCGCTCGCTAAAGACCCATTGGTAGCGTCCAGTACGCTCGCGAACTTCGTCCAACTTTATGTTGAATACTTACTTAACTACCTACAAATTCACGCGTTGCATCACCGACAAGGTTTAATGCTCATAGTACGTATGGAATGCATATATGAATAGAGAATACAGTTGACCCGAGGTAATCCGACAAACGTTTTGCAAGGCGGTGTCGGATTATCAAATTTACCGGATTATAGAGTACTGCCACAGTCCCCTGGTAGTCCGGAACTTTTTAAAAAAGTGTACCGTCCGTCCGCAAAATTACATATCAAATATAAAATAATAAAAATATAAATAATTTAAAATTAAAAGTTTTGTACAACCAACTTCAATATAAATTATTGAGAATAACTTAAAAATTATTTGTCAGACCTTGATCAAATTTATATGGGACAGCATGAGAAGCACCAGCTTTCAAATAAAAAAATATATAATAATAATTTACAATGTAGTTCAATGGAATTATCCATTACAAACAGAATAGTAGTGATCACCGCCTTAATGTTTTCTTTAATATTTCAATGACCCTTTTTATACATCTTTTGTGTAAATTTTTTGATTGATAGGCCTGCATATTTTCAGTAACTTTGTTGTAAAAACACATACATTCTTCCCTGAAGGAATTTGTATATATTTATAGTAGGTATTTAGGTATACAGGTATATGTGCTTCTTCCTAGTATTTACAGAATTCTTTAGTTTTTCTTAATTTTGTACTAATTACAAACGGACAAATAAGTGAATATTATCAATATTTTCACAGGAATCCGAAATTAAAGATTTGTCGGTGTATAAAGACAAGTATGTCGACATGTTAATGCAAGGAATTTTAACGCTGCACGGACATTTGTTAAGCAAAGAACCTTTCCAGCATGAATCACTTTTGGTGGACAGAAAAGAGAAAAAATTGTCCAGTGCTGAAAAGAGACTCGCACAGAGAGGGTAAGAAATGCTTGTCACGAAAATATAATTATTATAAATATAATGTTTATAATTTTATCAAGAATTTAAAATCTCCTATGTAAGGTTGATTCTTATTTTATCGTAAACATAGTACCTGCTTTGCGTATTATTCACATCTCTTTTTGAGATGTTTTTTGGAGCAGGTAATATTCCGCCGCGCTGATTCAATGCGTGTTGCGATTTCCTCATATCTTTGCAATAATATTTTCTTTTCTTTTAAAGACCTCATTTAGGTTGACGAAGTTTTCTTATGATGTTTTTCTTTACCGCCCCTTGGAATTAATAAATCAGCAGCTCAACAACTATATTTTTTAATAGTAGTAAGTTTAACAAACAAGCAAATAGTCCAACTGATGGTAAGTTAATGCTATGGCCCATAGACACAGCTATTAATCCTCAATTAAGAATCAAAGTGCAGGTGCGTTGCACCTCTCACTAAGATGGAATGCCTGCTTACAAGTAAAATGGGTCATCGGTTCTAGTCAGTCACCATAAAAATATAACGGTTGTTTATGTTCTTAAGGTACACTGTTTGATTTACTTGAAGTTGACAGAAAGAGGCGTGTGTTCTTTAGTAACGATTTATTCGGACTGCATTTGTAAAATAAACAATTAGCCTTTAAATTCGCTAAGCATGGATTAGGAGTGGTATACGTATTATTATGTATGTGTTTGTGAGCATTTGTTACGTGTACGTTTATTATGCATTGATGTATGTTTATTTGTGTTCTGTGAATATTTGTTTATAATATTTATGTCTCTTTGTATGTAAATATGTGTACATATGTATGTTCGAGTAAATAAACCTAACATACCGCCCAAGTACTACCGCCTAAGTCCTTTATCAAATAAAAGAAGAAGATGAAAATTGAGTTTTCATTATAAAATTATTTTTATAAAACGCGAACCTATTCCATGCTTTTACAATAATAATATAAACATATTTATGGTTGAGAATCAATAGGTAGTAAACATAATTTTGTTACAGTTCTTTTAACAACACTATCACCACTTTTTACACTGTACACTCTGGTCACTCCATCCGGGCCAGGGTGTTTGTCTGTCACTCGTCCTAGAGCCCATTTCCCAGGAGGGAGATTGTCCGACTTGATTAGCACTATGTCTCCTCTCTCCAGTTCCTTCTTTTGCTTTAGCCACTTCGGTCTCTGTTGAAGCCTGGAGAGGTATTCTGCTTGCCAGCGTGACCAGAAATCATGCAACAGCTTTTGTGTATGTTGCCATCGTGTTAAATAGTCCACTTTAACTTCCTTTAAACTTGGAGAGGGAATAGTAATTGGGGCTTCTCCAATCAAAAAATGTCCAGGTGTAAGAGGCTCAATTTGATCAGTATCGGATTCATCCACTGGACATAAAGGACGAGAATTGAGGCAAGCCTTAATTTGGCACAAGAGGGTGGTCATCTCTTCAAACGTTAAATTAGTCGACAAAATTCTTTTAAAGTGGTGTTTTATTGATTTTACGCCTGCTTCCCAAAGGCCACCGAAATTAGGACTGTAAGCAGGAATAAAATGCCATTGTGTGCCTTCGGGAACAAGACGTGCTGCAACATGACCAGTAAATTCTGCACAAGCCTCTTTCCAAGCTTGTGTTAATTCTTTATTCGTTCCAACAAAATTTCTGCCCTGATCACTGTATAAATGAATACATTTTCCTCTCCTTGTCACAAATCGTCTAAATGCTCCTATAAATGCTTCTGACGTCATGTCTCCCACCAATTCTAGGTGTATAGCTTTGGTAACCATACAGATGAAAATTGATATATAGGCCTTGTGAGTCTTGGCACCTCTGCCTTTGGATGTTAGAACTTGAAGAGGGCCAGCAAAGTCGACTCCACTATATAAAAAGGCTCGACTTGGAGTCACTCGCATTTGTGGTAGATCTCCCATTATTTGGGTTCTGGTTGTGGCGCTTTGTCTAGCGCATACTAAACATTTATGAATGTGTTTCTTGACTAAGCCCTTTGCTCTCACTATCCAATATTTTGATCTTATGTAAGACAGCACCTCCATGCAGTGTCCTTTTATGTGCATCACCTATAATTAAAGGTGTAAGACTGTTCTTATTGCTTAGGATTATGGGATGTTTACTATATTCTGCTAAATCAGCAAGTCTTAGCCTTCCGCCCACCCTGAGAATATTATTTTCATCTAAGAAAAGATTCAAACTCTTTAATTTACTGTTTCCTTTTATTTCTTTATTTTTCTCAAAGATTCTATTTCTCCTTCATAATCTTCTCTTTGAACAATCTTAATACACAAAATTAATGCATCTTCTAATTCATTTGTTGTTATTGGAATACTGATATCAGATTGTTTCTTGTAGTTGAGGAATCTTTTACATAATGTTATTGTTGTTAATAATTCATTTAAAGTATTAAAATTTGTGATTTTTTTTTTGTCAAAATTAATTCATTTTGTTCTTTACTTTCTATCTTCAAATTTACTAAAATTGTTTCTTTTGCTTCTAAATTTATTGGTACTATGTTTGGTCTTTCAAATCTTATTTTATCTCTAGAAAGCCATTTTGGCCCTTCCCACCACAACTTGCACTGTCTTAATTCCGTCACTAACATGCCTCTGGATACAATATCGGCGGGGTTATCAAGAGATAGTACATGGTGCCACTGACTATTGTTAACATTATCAGTTATTTCTACAACTCTGTTGGCAACAAATTGTTTCCATCTATTAGGTGCACCAGACAACCACGACAGAACTATTGACGAGTCTGTCCACGCGTATATTTGAGCTGATGGTATTCTCATTGCCAGACCGATTTGTTTAAGAAGTTTGGAGAGTAGAACAGCTCCGCAAAGCTCTAAGCGTGGCAAAGTCACGGTTTTCAAAGGGGCCACTCTTGTTCTCGCTGCAAGGAGTGCTGTCTTTATAGTACCGTCGAGTTTCACAACTCTGCAATATACGGCTGCTCCATAAGCACGTGATGGTGCGTCGCAAAAAACCGTGAATTTGTATCTGTTGTTTGTTACATTTCATTGTGTGCAACCATCTTGGTATGGATACTTCGTTGATGCGCTGGAAGTCTGCTCGTAATGTCAACCATTCTGTTTCAAGGATGGAGCTTATTTTGTCATCCCATGCAACTCCTTCCAGCCATAATTTTTGTACAAACATTTTCGCCATGATGACACTCGGTGCAATCCATCCCAAAGGATCGTATATTTTTTGAATATCTAACAGGACGATTCTTTTTGTGACAATTGATAAATTTTCAGGGAGATGAAAGTTATAGCAAAATTCATCAGTGGCTAGGTTCCAAATAATACCTAAAGTCTTAATTTTTCCTTCCATTTTGAGATCTATGTGTGCCTTGGAAGATCTTTCATTTGGTTCTATTGACTTCATGAATTCGACACTGTTGGAAGACCATTTTTTGAGTTCGAAGCAACCACTTTTAAGTAGAGATTTTGGCTGTTGACTGATTTTTATGACTTCTTCTACTGTATCGCCACCTGATAAAACATCGTCTACGTAAAAGTCTTCTCGTAGGATCTGAGCAGCTTCTGGATATTTATCTCCTTCGTCAAATGCCAGTTGCGTTAGCGTTCTTACTGCCAGGTAAGGTACTGACGTTGTTCCGAAGGTAACTGTAAGTAACCGGTAATCTTTAACTTCTTGCGAAGTGTCACTTCTCCATAAGATTCTCTGGTAATCTCTGTCGTCCTTGGTTACTAATATCATTCTATACATTTTCTGAATGTCTGATGCAAAGCAAAAACAGTGTAATCGCCATCGCAAGATTATGCTTCGAAGATCTTCTTGAATGACCGGTCCCATTAACAGTTCGTCGTTCAGTGAAATTCCATTAGATCCTTTGCACGAAGCATCAAAGACTACACGTATTCTTGTGGTTTCTTTGTCTTCACGCAAGATAGGGTGATGTGGCAGATACACCGTCCTTTTTGTTTGTATTTCATTTATTGGTACCTCTTCTAGGTGACCTAACCTTTTGTAGTTTTCAATAACTTCGATATATTCTTTTTTTAACTGGGGTGACCTTTGAAATCTTCTCTCTAACTGTATTAATCTGTTTAATGCTGTTTGGCGTGTTAATCCTTCGGTTGATTTCGGGCTTTCTGTTTTGAATGGTAACTAGACTATATATATCTTCCATCTTCTCTTCTAGAATAAGTCTTTTCATAAATTTCTTCAAAAATTCTTTCTTCTTTGGTAAGTTTTCTCTTCGGATTCTTCAACATTTACTTGATGATGTAGAACTAAAACGTCATTTTCTTGTGTATTTGTATTTATATCTCCAAATAAAATGCAGCCCAGGTTGGTTCTTTGAGCACATGGCGTGCCTGGCGGACCTTTGATAAGCTCTTGTTGTAATATTTGCGCATATTCTCTAACACCTAGAAGTAAGTCGATTGAACCTGGTATATGATATCTAGGATCTGCCAGGTTGAGTCCGTCTATATGTGGCCAATTGTTTGATATGATAGTTTTGGTAGGTATCTTAGTAGTTAGTTGCTTGGGCATCACGTAAGCTTGTATTTCTAAACTAAAGGTTGAATCCCAACGTGATTGTAGTTCCAACTGCACTACTTGTTTTATGCCAACACTTGTAGATCCTACGCCAACTACATTTCCCTTGACTGATTGCCGTGTGGTTTTAAGGCGTTGTGCTGCCCTTTCGCTTATAAAGGATGCTTGAGAGCCTTGGTCGACAAGGGCCCTCAAAATTGTTGTATGACCTTGCGTGCTTCGTACAATCACTTCTGCCGTTGCTAAGAGAGCTATATTGCTTTTAGCAGTAAAATGTGAAGCAATCATCATGTTGACTTCAACTAGCTCCTCTACAGTTACATGTGATTGTGACACTGGTTGTGAGTTGCTCGTTTGACCCAGTGTGACTTCTTGCTTTGCTTGCTGTAAGAGCGAATGATGACGCTTGCGACAGATGCGGCAAGTCAACGGTATGCGACATTTTGTTGCGGAGTGACCTGCTCCTAAGCAGTTAAAGCATAAATTGTTCTTCTTTGCATATTCACCTCTTTCTGTTGGTTGCATTTTGCCAAATTCTTTACAATGACCTTCTTTGCACATGATGCAGACCTTCTCAGAAATTGAACTATGAAAAGATTTTTCTCGTATGGTATTTGTTTTTTGTTTCTGAGGTTCTATTAGTTCCATCTTACGAAAACGGCTTTCCAAAAATTTTCGAAACATTTCGAGCGACGGTAGGCTTTCTGGATCATGACAACTGTTACTCACGTGCTGCTCCCAGTCCTTGTGTGTATATGGATCTAATTTTTGCACAATAACAAATATAACAAGTGTATCCCAATTGTCAGTTGTCACATTTACATTTTTCAAATGATATAAACATTCAAAAGTTGTGTCTAGTAAATGTTTAATTTGACTCGTCGAATTAACTGTCATCTTTTTCTGAGAAAATAACCTCTTCATAATCGCATTCACAGTCATACGTTTGTTACCGTATCGACCTTTCAATAAATTCCATGCCTGCTCGTAATTAGACTCCGTTACCTGTATGTGCTTCAAAACCAAAGCAGCTTCTCCTGTAAGGCTTGTCTTCAAATAATGGAGCCGTTGAACATTGCTCAATGACCCGTTATTATCGACGAGCGTATTAAACAAATCATAAAATGATGACCAATCTTCATATTGCCCACTAAAAGTTGGAATTTGTATATTGGGTAACACGACGTTTGGTTGTTGACATTCACTCATAATTGGTATGGATGTATTAATTGGTTGAGAAGTTATAAAATCTTGTAGCTCCGCCTTTAACGTAATATATAACTCTTCGTGATCGTAAAACTCCTCCTTTGCAAAGTACGGCACCAAATCTCTTTTCTCTTTTGGGGTGTGACTAATTATATCACCATAAGCTTTTCTATAATCCATCCAATATTCTTCGACACACTTAAGACGCGCTTCGGCATAAATAGGAGTTAATCTTGCTTTAGATTAGATATATAGATTGTAAGATTTGCAGGAAGTCGATGGATGCAGGTGGCTCAGGACCGTGCTTTGTGGCATTCTTTGGGGGAGGCCTATGTTCAGCAGTGGACTTGTGAAGGGCTGTAATGATGATGAATCTTGCTTTAGGACATTTCTTTAGGTTTACTTGAGTCATCTTTAATATTTGTGCAATGTCTTCTACAGTACTTAACGTTTTTAAAACTTCCGTAGTCATTGTACACCACGATTAAATTTATCGAAAGTAAAGTGATGAAACACAAATCTTGCAAAACAGTGTTGTTTTTCAATAACTCGGCCGTCTAATCTCTAAAGGAATGCAATCTTTTGTTCTCGCGGCAGCGTCGTCGACCGTTCTCCGATCGCTTCTATCCGGCTCGAAGGACCATATGTTTATGTTCTTAAGGTACACTGTTTGATTTACTTGAAGTTGACAGAAAGAGGTGTGTGTTCTTTAGTAACGATTTATTCGGACTGCATTTGTAAAATAAACAATTAGCCTTTAAATTCGCTAAGCATGGATTAGGAGTGGTATACGTATTATTATGTATGTGTTTGTGAGCATTTGTTACGTGTACGTTTATTATGCATTGATGTATGTTTATTTGTGTTCTGTGAATATTTGTTTATAATATTTATGTCTCTTTGTATGTAAATATGTGTACATATGTATGTTCGAGTAAATAAACCTAACAACGGTATAATGCTACTATTTCACGCTGGTAATTTTTACGAGCGTGGTCCTTCCCTAGTTAGGCCGCTGAATAATATATATTATAATAATATACATATAATATTCTGCCATAATAGTCTTAATACACTTGCCACATGCATAATGGTACAAAAGTAATTAAATGAATCAGTAGTTCCTTAGACCGCTGTTACTTTATCATGTATATATGATCATAGATATATGATTCATAGTTAACTCACATATTTTATGAATTATATATCTATAATAATATACATATGATAATTCTATAGCAGTGTTATAAACAACCGATCATAGGCAAGGTGATTTTTGTAAAGCAAACTTTAAACTTCGCAGCGAGACGTTGTCACGTATTTATCATGACACTATCTTATAGAGATCGTGTAATTTATAACCGCACGTGCCTCCCGTGTGTTTTCGTTAGATTTTATTACTATGTATTGTATAGTACTACACGTGTTCTGCGGCCTGAATACATATCATACCAAGTAAGATTAACTCTCCGTAACTCTTTTAATCGAGTGCGAGCGGGTGAGAAGACTAGTTCTTTGTTTTGTAAACCACGAACGTTGTTTTCGCTTTCGGGAAACTATATCGTGTCCCGCGCGATCTATAGCTCTGACACAGTTTTTAATCTGAATTGCCGGTCTATTAGTAACATAGAAGTCTAACTAAAGACTGACAGTATCTATTTAGTATATAGATCATCTTATTTTAAACTTTAAACGTGGTAGAGCCATGCTGCAGCTATATTAGTAGTATAGTTGTAACACGAATGGGTCGGCTCGATCGGAGAAGGACCACATCCTCGCAGAATACCAGCGTTGTCAGCCGTGAGGACTAAGATGCAATGCTATTTTTTTGCAGTAAAAAGGGTATCCGGTTCTCTACACTCACCATACGAAATACAGCAGCACTAAGCTGGTATCCTGTGAGAGCGTGGTCCTTCCCCGGTCGAGTCGAGCCATTCGTGTTACGACTATACAATTAATATAGTTGCAGCATGGCTCTACCTCTATACGTATACGTTTTCTTGTAGTTTTCGTAGATTTTATCACATCACGGTAGTTGGCATGGTAAATATTGCGCGCAGTTGTATTTTCATTTACGACAGTTACTGTTTTTAGGCAAATACGAAATAAAGTTATACATACTTATCTGAAAAAGACTTCATATTACGTTGACAAAGTGCGCACATAAATAATGACAGTGTTTTGTTAGTAACATTTAACAAAATCAGTGTTGATTGTCAAAAATAACGTTTGCGGTTTACAAAACAAAGAACTATACTAATGATAAACACTCGCTGCCTGCGGTACAATAAAATGCGCCTTACGGCAGGCCTGCCTTAAAGCCCGTGAGTGCGACAGAGAGCACAAAGCGCAACAGGCGGCGTTCTGTTTCTACATTATATTGCATCGCGGGCAGTGAATGTTTACGATTAGTATAGTCTCGACTGCTCGCAGTCGACTAAAGAAGTTACGGAGAATTGAGCGCAACTTATTGCGCAATGCATTAGTACCGTAGTGGCCCTGTGGTAGTATATATAGAAGTGTGCGCGTGACATGGGTACGACGGTCGGTAGATACGAGCTGGAGAAAAAGGCGGCGCTGGCGCCCAAGCCGACGGGCGCGTACCGCGCGGTGCGCGGCGCGGACGGCAGCGTGGTGCAGCGGCCCGTGGCGTCCGTGCGCCCCACGCAGCACGCCGCGCGCTGGATCCCCGCCGACGTGTGGCGCCGCCAGGGCATGACCGCGCAGGAGATGACGCTGCCGCTCGGTAACTATTCAACTTGTACTTCGCGCGGACGGCAGCGTGGTGCAGCGGCCCGTGGCGTCCGTGCGCCCCACGCAGCACGCCGCGCGCTGGATCCCCGCCGACGTGTGGCGCCGCCAGGGCATGACCGCGCAGGAGATGACGCTGCCGCTCGGTAACTATTCAACTTGTACTTCGCGCGGACGGCAGCGTGGTGCAGCGGCCCGTGGCGTCCGTGCGCCCCACGCAGCACGCCGCGCGCTGGATCCCCGCCGACGTGTGGCGCCGCCAGGGCATGACCGCGCAGGAGATGACGCTGCCGCTCGGTAACTATTCAACTTGTACTTCGCGCGGACGGCAGCGTGGTGCAGCGGCCCGTGGCGTCCGTGCGCCCCACGCAGCACGCCGCGCGCTGGATCCCCGCCGACGTGTGGCGCCGCCAGGGCATGACCGCGCAGGAGATGACGCTGCCGCTCGGTAACTATTCAACTTGTACTTCGCGCGGACGGCAGCGTGGTGCAGCGGCCCGTGGCGTCCGTGCGCCCCACGCAGCACGCCGCGCGCTGGATCCCCGCCGACGTGTGGCGCCGCCAGGGCATGACCGCGCAGGAGATGACGCTGCCGCTCGGTAACTATTCAACTTGTACTTCGCGCGGACGGCAGCGTGGTGCAGCGGCCCGTGGCGTCCGTGCGCCCCACGCAGCACGCCGCGCGCTGGATCCCCGCCGACGTGTGGCGCCGCCAGGGCATGACCGCGCAGGAGATGACGCTGCCGCTCGGTAACTATTCAACTTGTACTTCGCGCGGACGGCAGCGTGGTGCAGCGGCCCGTGGCGTCCGTGCGCCCCACGCAGCACGCCGCGCACCGATTAAAACCACATTTCAAATTTGACGTAGACGTTTGGTCAACTTTGACACTATGGCTTGGTAATTAAGGCATAAACGGACTGGTCCCACGTACGCAACGTATGCAACGCGTTATGATGTCTGAACTCCTTAATTTTGTATGAAAAACTATGCATTAGATATTTTAAAATTAAAAATTTTGTACACCGACTTCAATATAAATTACAAAATACAAAAATACAAAATAATTTATTACGGTAAATTATTAAGAATAACTCAAAAACTATTGGTCACACCGTGATCAAATTTATATGGGGCCACATAAGAATCACCAGCTTTCAAATAAAAAAAGAATCATGGAAATTGGTTCACACAGATAAAAGTTATGACGTAACACACATAAAAAAAAACATGCAGTCGAATTGAGTACCGTCTTCTGTTTGAAGTCGGTAGAAAAATACTTATCGTATGCAACGCAATCACACGCGTCCGACGCCACAACGGTCTGCGATATCCAGATCGGCGTGGGAATGTGGATTATATATTATACGATATATTCGTACGCAATCCCACGCGAACGACCAGTGTGTTCCTAGAACTTACGCGTAGCACGTCGTAAACAAAGAGACCTTTGCACCGTGCATGCGTATTGTTGTCAAAATGGGAGATTAATAGCCCATTGATTTAGAAAGGCAATACGAGTGTGTTTTCAATATTAAACCGCGATGCCACTTTACGTTATACAGTAGATATAGTAGGGAAGAGATAGTAAAACTACGTGGCAAACTTAGTGAGTATCTATCCACCTACTGCTATTATTTTTGTTATGAATGTGAAAAGAAGAGGTTGAGGCGTGAAATTAAAAAAAAGTAGTGTTTTGTCTTTTTATCCTAGTTATATTTAGATATGAAACATGGTTTTATATACTGCGGAAATAACACATTGTATTCTACATATTTATGTATTTGTTTGCATTTATAAATCATAAATTTTATCAGAATTATTACCTAAACGTTTTCTTTGTAGCGTGGATATATTCGTTTATGAACATCAGACGAAGCAAATAATTCTCAAACTCACTCTTAAAATCAGAAAACTTGTTATAAGTTTTTACTCGTGTGTTCGCTAAGAAGTGACAAGAGTGTCTGACGCCAAACGTAGGTCAAAGGTGTACACCAACATAAAAGCGTTGTATCGTATATGTTGCGTACGTGGAACCAGTCTTTCTCTACTCTTATACTTCGGCTTTGACGTTGCGGCTCATTAGTTACACTTCGATATTGCCCTATACTATGCTATACATACATAAACGAAATCAATAACATTTCCAACTTATAATAAATAGAAGAGATAAAGAGTCTAGAAGGAATTAACATTTGTTGAGTATACATTTTAAGCTTGTAATATGTATGTTCATTTATTTGCAGATGTTGTTATACCAACAAACTCAGCTGAGAAAACAAATATTGTACTTAAAGCTGGTCAACGCGTGATGGTTTTGAAATCACCCAAAGGAATTTATATGCAGTTAGAATCAGGCAAGATAATAGCAATAAAAACTTCTCTCAAAGGCTTGCAAAAAGGGTCCGACAGTAAAGAGGGTAATCCCTTAGGAAAGAAAGGTATGATGATCAATTTCTCACTTTTGTAAGCTTAATTAAAATTGATTTTATATTTATGAATCTAAAAATATTTTTTCAGTTTTAGGTATTCGCCCTACTCCCTCGAATATACCAGGTTCTTTAAAAAATAACTCTGCAATAACTATTACGTCAAAAACTGGACTTAGACCTGGAATGCAAAGAGTTATGACTAGACCATCAATGATGGGGTCTAATAAAATTACAAGACCTGTGTTTCCTGGACAAAAGATAGCTGATATCAGAAATCGTTTGGGAGAAATGAGATCCTATTCAGCAATGCGAGCTAAATTTCCTTTGAATCAATCTCGAATGTTAAGGCCTAATTTGCCCGGCTCCGTTAGTATTACAAAAATATCTAAAGATTTGAGAAGACCGGTAAATATTAATACTCATATCGTAAAGAGAGTCGAATTAGAGTCCGATGAAGACGCGCAGGTATTAGATAGCGATGAAGAGGATGACGAAGTTTTACCAAAAGACATTAGGTCACGAAAGATAAAATTAGTTGGTACAAAAGGCAATAATGTGAACAGTTATTTAAACAGACCAAATATACACCATGAGGAATACATACATCACGCAGAACATGAAAAAGAAGAAATGGAACAAAAAAGCACTGACACTGAACCAGTGTGTTTGACGACTGACGAGAAGTTGCCATCAGAAGAAGCATTAGAAAATAAATTGACTGAGGAAACATCCATTGAAGCTGTAACAACACCTAATAATCAAACGAAAGTAGCGACCAGTGAGGCAATTCATTCAACACAGATTGAGAAAAAAAGAAGTCTTTTAAAGAATTACAGGCATCAACGGCTTGGCAGCCGTCCTCAAACAGAATCTAGTTTAAGTCAATTAGAAAGAACTGCTAGCACATTGAATAAGGAAGGAATTCCAGATTTTCGAAGGAACTTAGATGATATTACCCAATCTTACTCACCGGGCACTGATGATAGACCAAACATTAAAACAAAAAAGAAAAAGTCTCCAAATAAAAATGAAGCTTCTGAATCCCAAAGTAACGATAGACCGTCGGTTCCAAGTTCCCACATGTCTCACAGTGTATCTAGTCTACTTAGTTCAAGCAGTCAAAAGCCAAGGATAAGTGATTCGGTTTTTAGTAATCATTTACAAAAGCCAAGAATAAGTGAATCGATGCCACAAAATTTAGCACAATGTGGTCCCAGAACAAAAAATTCTTTAGGAATTTCGCACGATAACTCTAACAGTCCAAACCGTGATTTTACTATTGGTCAAAGCTTAGATCATACCAATCACCAAGCAATAGGTTCAAATTTAGGAAACATTGGGTTGATGAGTGGTGGTTCTTCGGTGACGCCAAATATTGACGTGAGGAAAGTGTCGGGAGCGTTAGGAGACATCCCAAGTGGTAGTGCAATGCCTACGAGTTCCCTGCCTGGACCAACATATCCCCCTAGTAATCCCACGGAAGGATCATTTGGCCAATATCAAGGTAAACATATTTTATATTATATATTACATTACATTGTTCCTAGCACAAGTCAAAATGTTTCTTTCTACTTTCACCATAATAATTTTTTGATTAATTAATTTAAAAAAAATACTGCTATAACCACTGTCCATGAAAATTAAGACAAGTAACTTAAAAAACGCAATTCTAATCCATGTGTAAATAAATTTCCACCATCTTTATTTTTGGGGGTGATAATGATTTTAGCCATAAGATGTTAAAATTGGAATTAACCATGTAGTGTTAGTAAGAATATCCACTACCCAATGTCATCTTGTGGGTGTCGTAAGAGGTGACAGAGAATCTTAACTAGTGTACAGAACACCTTTATATATGATATATGATATAAGAAAAAATGATTTTATATCAACTGATAATGATATTGATACAAAACTTATAATGATATTGACACAAAATTGATAATGATATAGAACGCGTCCGCCGTGTTCGGAATGAAAACGTGACTGCTTGAAAAATAAAGTAAATGATGTTGACCTAAATAAATCGCTTACTAACAGAAATGTACGGTTGCACTGTACATGCTCCCGGGCGAAGGAGGAGAGTGATAAGATAGATAGAAAAAAAACAAAAATGATATAAGGTAAAATGATAATGATCTAAGATAATGATAAAGTTAAGAACTATTATAGTTAGCAGAATATCACTAATAAACAAGATAAAAATAAGTAGTTAAAGGTCCATGTCCAGATCTATTTTACTTGTTGTAAGTCACTCAAGCACACCCTCGTGATTACGGGTGAGGTGCCTTTGTATTGTAGTCGCGCATTTTATACTGATACGTTTTGATTGACTCTGACACTATCACTAGCACTAGGAATGTCTTGAAGAGATGTGCTGATGCAGGGGCCGGGCGGGCTCGGCCGGCGTGCTCGTCGCACTCGCCTCCAGAGTACCGCTACTCCCGCTGCTCCGAATGTTTCCCACTAACACGTAGATAACGACATAATGGTGTAAGTCGTGGGTTGACAGCTGATTGAATTCAACGTCTATGTATTCCTTTTTCAAATTAACTAAGATGTTGTTTGATATTACAGATGAAAAGGTAAACTCGTTGATAGCTCTTAATCTTTGTATCTCTTCTCTAATAACAGAATTTTCTTGCTTTAATTTATTGATAGCTGATGGAATAGTTTGTTTTGTTAGTCAATTGTTGTTCTATTACTGATGTCTGATTTTTCCATAATTTTACGAGAATATTTTGATTTTTTCTAATGAGTTCAATGTCCTTTTGATATTGTTCAGCGAAGTCATTGTCAAGTACGCCGAATAGTGCATGCGCGACATTTCCCTTGCCATTGATAAGCCCGCGACGTACTCGTATTGTCGCTACCGCAGACTGCTGACCAAGCAACAGCTGATCGTAGTAGTGTAACTCGGTGCTCCCGTGTCGTAATTGTAATAGGATTATGTCACATTGTTGTCGCTCTTGCAGTTTTGAACATATATTTTCAAGGTGAGTGATCTTTAGTAGTTTTGAACCTTGCCAGTACGGATCTAAATCGTAATAAACAATCATTCTCCATTCATCTCGGATAAGCCTCATGTTTGATGTTTTATCGAAATATAAATTTTGGGTATCCTTTTTGTTACATTAAATGCTCCTTGTGCTGCTTGCGCGAATAATGTAAAAATAAACAGTGTGTACATGATAAAATTGCAAAGTTCCATACCAGATCGTGCATTTCCTGGTTTGTCGTTTTTGTGATCTGCTTTCAGACTTGATTCTTGATTGTTTTTCGGACTTGATTGATAGTTTGTGGGATTTTGATAGTTTGCTTTTTTTATAGGATAAGGGTGACAAACGAGCACACAGTCCACCTGATGGTAAGTGGTTGCTGCGGCCCATAGACATCTACATCTATCCTCGTTTGCGAATCAAAATGCAGATGCGTTGTCACCCGTGAGGACTAAGATGGAATGCCTCATTTCCAGTAAAAAGGGCCTCCGGCCAGGTGGCCGGAGGTGCAGGTGCACTCACCAAGCGAAACGCAGAGGTAAACCTCTACTTCACGCTGGTATTCTGTGAGGTCGTGGTACCACCCCGGTTCGAGCCGATCCATCCGTGCGACAGTAGAAGCTGCCGCGTGGCTCTACCACTGTTAAAAAAAAGTTGCTTCAGGAAGATCGCCCATAAGCTGAAACTGTTTTGTAGGGTTGTGTCTTTTACAGGTTACCCAGCTGCACAGGCGTTTTTTGATTGTTCTGTTCCCACTTAGAACCCAATACTGTTGTCATAGCCACGCTAAGGTGACACGGGCTCCCCGTGATATGTCACTTTGTGGGCTTGATCAATTGTCATCAGTGCAACAGTATAAAGAGCTGCTCATTCCCGCTATTTATGGGTATGCAGACGACAGCACAGTTGTGGATAGATACCAACCAAGTGCCCGGGCCAGTCGGAATCAAATCTAGTCAGAAAGAGAAGCTATGGTTGAGCGTATAAATCTCACACTACAGGCAGTATCCGAATGGGGCGATGGCCAATCTCGTCAGATTTAACGCCTCCAAAACACAAGCATGTCTTTTCACCGCTAAAAGGAGCCCGCTCACCTTGGTTCCTTCTTTCCGAAATGTATCCTTGGAGTGCACTGACCGCCTTCAGTTGTTAGGGGTTGAATTTTCTCCGAACCTCAACTTTGGGCGGTTCATTGAGTCCAGAGCCAAAGCAGCCGCAAGAAAATTTGGTGCCCTTAGCGGCGGTACTTCACGCTGCGGCAGCTTCTTACCTTATACAAAGCACAAGTCCGATCCTGTATGGAGTACTGCTGTTACATATGGGCTGATGCTGCAAAATGCCACCTGGCAGCGTTGGACTCAGTGGAGAAACGTGCTAAGAGACTCAACTGGCTTATAATAAGTAAAAAAAAGTTAACAGTTGTGAAACGTATTTCATGTCAGGCGATGCCGCCGCCCGCGTAAATATTTACGGCTAGGGCTTGTCACGAAATTGGGAATAAAATATTTTTAGATATTATAATACTCATTATCATTTATTAACATTATGTACCTACATACATAAAAGTTAAAAACCATTTATTGAATAAGATAATTTTTTTTATTACAAGAAAAAATACATTTACAAGTGTTGCACTGCCAAATATTTTCGTTTTCAGTTTTCGATTGTGAAATTTAATTATGTAGAGTATTCGCATTCGGATAAACAATTTTATCAAAAAAAAAAAAATTAGGGAAACATAAGCATGGCCGTCGTTTGGATTCAACTTCACTTATTTACTCATATTACTATAACAATAATTTACCATTATAGACATCATATTTTTCGAAAACTGTACTTAAAA